CTCAAACTAATTTTTTTTAATATCTTAGATAGATTACTTAGTAATTTGTATTCCAGATAATCCTGTTCATTAACTTTCACTTCTATTTGCGGTTTTTCACAAATTTTATCTTTGACCCAAACTTGAGTTGAATTTTTCCTATTTCTCTTTTAAGTGGTTTAGGTTATTCTTCTCTTTTAAGTGTTTTAGGTTACGATTTCACTAAAACCTTCACCGCTTATTTCTTTAATACCAGATTTACCCTAAGATTCTTTAGCGTATTTTTTTTTTTTTATCAATTTTTAACAATTTTTGGTCTGATGTCATTTTGTCTCTCTGCTTAAAATTGCTTCTTTTTATTATGCTCAGGATTTAGACAAACATACAAGTTTTTATTCCTTCTTATCTATTACAAGTCAAGTCTCACCCGAACCCATCGTTTTCTATTTCTTGTGGAGCTGCAATTTCTAATTTTAGCCATTTTTTCCACAAAAAAACTCTTTCAAGAATAGATCCATTATGATTATTGCAAGAAATTAATGCAAAAAGGTATTCTTCTAAAGACTTTGGAAAATCTTTAAGATTAAAAATTCTAGTATTTTATCTATCATACATGAGACCGACTGACTATCAGCAGTTTCTATAAGCAATAAAAATACTTACAAAGACGTTTCTCTCTAATTTAACCTCTTTAATTTTTAAAATCTATTTTACAGATTTTGGTCTAAACAACGTCCTATTGCAGTCTTATAAAAGTTTACTTCAGAACTGTCTTTGCTATATATAAAATATTTAACAAGTGTTTAAATAAGTCCTGTTTTTCTGACTGCTGTTGCCAGTCTCAACTTTTAAAAACTCTGGAGATTATTCTGATCCTTCTAACTTTCGCCAAAATATTGAAATGTCAAACAGTTTCACTGTTGTTAAACAGTTTCACTGTTATTAGTCTTTGAATCTTTAATTTACAAACTTCTAATATTTCACATTGAATTCAACAACTTGTTCTCTGACAATCAATATGCATTTTAATTCTAACATTCTACTGCTGACTTGTTAATCGTTATAACAGAAAGATTCTATAATGCATTAGATTGTGACGTTCATGTGAGAGCTATACCTCTCAACATACCATAGCCATTTAATGTAGACTGACATGCTGGTTTTCTCCAGCTCACTTTGCATGGTTAAGAAAAGTTAAACCTTTTTTTGTTTAATAACCTGGGAATGTATTTAAAGTTATTTCTAACCACAGAAACTATGTTGTCCTTGATGAAAAAGATTTTCTTAGCTCTATCCTTGGTTCTGTGTTGTTTTCCATTTATACTATTAGCCTTTCGTATAATTTTACCACTAAGCAACTCTATTTGCTGATGACACAACTATATATTCAAGTCTTGAAAAAAAAATATATTTTAGATTATTCATTTAGAAAAGCAGACAATCTTTAATGTAGCCTTTTTTTTTTCTGGAACAGCTTGTGGCTCGCAGGGACATGTGAATTCAACCAAAACAAAACTTAGTTGTTTACTGCTGCTAAAAATTGCATCATTTTTGAATAACGTTACAATGTAGCCAATAAGAATTTAAAGTTTTATGTCAAAAAGCAGATAGTAATTGCTATGCTCTTTCTCGTATAAAATTTTTTTTTATACAAAAAAAACCTTATAAATAAACTACTCAATTATTTAACGCATATATATTATCTGGACTATTATGCTGTCTTTTGATTTGGATGTTTTACTCAAAATACAATGACAAACTCATTATTAAAATTCATAAATAAGGAGTCTACATAATCCATAGGATTTGGCTCCTCTTTGGATGAAATGTTAAAAATAGACAATAACCTAATAAGTTTTAAAATTTACGGTTTCTATTGATTAAAGTTTTTGATATTGGTTTAAACCCTAAGTGTATGAAGAGATTATATTTAAAAAAGATTATCATTTTGACTTGGATGCTGTAATAAATTGATGCTATCGCCCAAAGGCTCTAATCACAAGAGTATAAGTAATCTTTTATATTATAACACCTCACTTTAGAATTCCCTTGACAATAAAACCATTTTCTCAAAAAGTCTACAGTTATTATAATTATTATTTTTTTGTAAAACAAGTAAAACTTAAATTTATTTATTATTCTTAGAGACCATATCATTTTTCAATAATTATGAAATTTTTTCTTTTTACAATATTTAATCACGATACATTATTTAAGTACGATGTTATATTTGTTGCAACTGATTTATTAGGGTGGCACACAACTGAAAGCAAGTTTTTTTTTCCATTTAATATACATTTAACATATTTCGGCATTTTAGACATTTCCATTTGATACACATTTTTCAGGTGTCATTTTTTTTATATTTGTTTCTGTATGTGTTGCCGATACAGTTTATTGTATTGATACCAGCCAATATTTTTTATCAGTGACGTATCCAGAAACTTTTTAGGAAAAAAAAAAGTTCCTCACATTTATGCGGAAATTTGTACTATATTAGCAGTACATGAATTTTTCAGACGTTCTGAGGACCTTTTTTTACGCGAGTGTCACATTCAATCACAATTTAAGCTCCTTTTTTACAAATGAACATGTTATATACACTTTTATCTAATATTTTATATAATTCCCTTCACTTTTTATAATACAAAGAACTTATGTTAAAATTGTATCCATTATTAAGTACTGGAGTTTGGGATCAATGTTTTTAACGTTAATTTTTATTTTGGACCAGATTGTTTCCACGGAGTTTTATATTGGACTGTAAGATACTTATCATAACAACTGAGCCGGTGAATTTTCAAACACCCTTTCCAAACGAACGTAACATGGAACATTGTCTGTTACAACGACAAATCCTCTAAACGATTCCCGGATGTAACCCACTAGTTAAACATAGCCAACATCCACTCGTTACAAGAATCTGGTTTAAATGATCATCTGCAAGTTTCTATCATGACGATATTTGTTGTTGATATAATGCAATCAAATGTATCTTTTGAAGAAGGTAGTTTCGTTATTACTCTTTTTCCCTGTTTGGCACGTCCTTTTTCCCTGTTTGGCACGTCCCTGCGTTTTTCTACAAAAAAGGTTAAAACTTGTTTCATCAACCAAACTATCTGATGACCATTTGTGATGTGTTCATAAATGCTCCTTACATATTCAGGTCTTTTTAATGGCCCCCAATGTCAACTGACAGCCACTTTCAATCCATGTTAGTGTTTCTTCGATTTGATCATCAGATTAAACCACCTTTTCTAATGAAACTTAAATATTCATTGCGGACCTAATTGTATGCTGTCTTATATTTGACACCTAAAGTTTGCACCGGAGTCATCCAATCATCATTTTGCTCAGCAAATTCAGTAACTCTGCTTCTATCATTCAATGAAGGTAAAACGTAATGTTTTCTTTCAACTTGTTCTGTTGTATGTATTTCATGTCTACAAATTGAACAAATTGGTTCTGGTTGTTCCAGAAGTGGATGTAAACAAAATTGGTGAAATAAATGCTTGCACGGATTCAATTTAGTAACATACTTTTTTATCACTGTTTACTGACAAATAACACAACGATTTTTCAATTCCATTACTGTTTTACTGTATTGCTGGTGCATCGAAATTTTATGCTTGATATTATTAACTCATTAAAGTTAAAATATTAAAGTTCCCAGTTATCATTAAAGTGCATGTCCAAGAAAATCTTATATAATGATCTTTAAGCTTACATTGGGAATTCACAATTAGAAATAATGTATTCTCATTTACATTTTACGATTTCTTGATTACAACTTTTGTTTTTCTGATTACATATTGGGTTTCTCAATAATATTTAAAAATTTCCTAATAACATGTTAAATTTCTCAATTTAGTTTTCTTAATTACAACTTTCTAGCTCTCAATTACATCTTAAAAAGGTGTAGTATTTATAATTTGGTGCTTTTCCATTAAACAAACATACATATTTGTTTAACATTTTCAAATACTAAAATCTTATCGAAATTTATTTAAACCACTTTTTATGTCATTTATGCATCATTTAAAAATTGTCAAAAAAGTGTCAACTTGTTATGTATATTTTATTGTATTTTATGTTATGTTTTTTATTTTAAAAAACTTTAAACGGCGAAATGTATAATAGTAATAATAACTTTTCATGTAAAAGTTTTAAAAGGTAAATAGATTAAACAATCTCTTTAGAGAGGTAAAAATAATCCGTTAACTAATGCTAAATGCGAGATAGCACAATATACTAATAAAGAAGTTGCACATTGGAAGACCAACCGTACAAGATTTCCTTATCTCAGTAGACTAGCAAAGAAAATCTTGTGCATCCCTCCTTCATCAGCTACTTACAAACGAGTATTTCCAAGTGCTGGTAATATTCTTTTGGAACAAAAAACTAACCTTAGAATCGATAACATTAAAATAACAGTTTTTTATGAAAGAAAAAAAAAGGAAATCACCTAGGTGTGAAGATAACGATAAAAAAAACTAAAAAGTATGTACAAAAAGTATAACCTCATATAAATAATAAGCTTTTTTTCCTTGTTATTTTTAATAAAAATTTGGTTCAATTAGTCTGAAAATAGATAATGTTGCCATCAAGTGGTCTGTAACAAGAGTATCACAGGATGACAATTACAAATAAAATATATATTAAAAGTATATGTACACAAAAAATATTTAAAAAAAACAAAATTAAAACAAATATTAAATAAAAATGCATCATTAAGCTCAACTAAATCTACAACATTTTGTAAAACAGTGACCAATATACTTATTTATACAACTTGTATGACTATTTAATTGTTCAACAAATAAGCGGGAACGAAAATAATTGTTTAACAAATATTCGTAAAATATTTATTTTTTGAACGATTATTATTCGTTCAGTTATTGTTCAACGATTAAAATAAAAAAAAGGACGAACATTTGTAACCGTTTAACGAATATTTGTTAAAATACTCTGTTATAGAATAACCGCCGCTCTTTAATATAAGACTTATTTTAAACGTGTATTTGACAATATCTAAAATGATGTTTCAAGTGTTTACTCTATTTTTACGTATATTTACAAATGTTTACGTGATTTTACGCATATTTACAAATGTTTACGTGATTTTACACATATTTACAAATGTTTACATGCTTTTACGCATACTTACAAATGTTTACGCGATTTTACGCATATTTTCAAATGTTTACGTGTTTTTACGTTTGTGCCTAAATGATAGTTTTTTGGTAAAAAAATATCTCATTTAAAAATTAAAAAAAAAACTATTCTAAAAAATTAGAACTTTTTGTTTGTTTTTATCTTTTAGGACTGTAGAAGGAAATCTGTTAATCATAGAAAGGATAGTTTGACTAATCAAAAAAGTAATCGACCAGTAACCGCTCCGCCTACTAATCGCCTACAAACAGGAGTTTTAAAAAGGCAGTCATGCTGTTCGAGTAAGTTTTCAATTTCAGAACAAATTCAATCTAAACACTATAAAGAAAAAATAGATAAAACACTATTTTAATTTAAAAAAAAGATGTTAAAATTTTTTTTTTTTCTTAAATAAAATATGCTTTTCAGGTTTGATAGACAATCACTAGTTGTGTTAAATGGGCAGCATGAAATCGGCTAGGGATTTCGGGGCAATTTAACTACAAAATTTAACGCACTACATTTAACACCAGAAATTACATAGAACCCTCCTTATTAACCATTTTATCTTTTTATTTTACAAAGATTTAAATTTTTAAAAAAGTGTCACAAGGCAATTACTCGTAACTGTCATATTCTTAAAGAGCTTTTTAAGAATTTGAGGGCTATCTGAAAATATCAACATGGCCTACTTAAATTACTTAAATTGTAATTTAAGTAGGCCATGATATCAAAATATCAATGATATAGATTATTATTGCCATAAATAATATTCTACACAGTAAAGTGCAGGCCTCAGCACAAATGCACTAAAAATAATTTTAATCCAATAAGTTTCCCCAAAAAATATTTTGAAACATGGCTTGTTTTTTCATATATATATATATATATATATATATATATATATATATATATATATATATATATATATATATATATATATAATATATATATATATATATATATCATATATATATATATATATATATATATATATATATATATATATATATATATATATATATATATATATATATATATATATATATATATATATATATATATAAACCCCCTTTTTTGAGGGGTTTGCAAACTTTATATGGTCATAATTTTCGAACACCAAAGTAATCTACTATGAAATTTAAAATTTCTCGATGAATATTAAGTCTATTTAAAAATTGTACAAAAAATATTTCATCAACTTGTTGCTCTCACGTTTGGGACAGGGGGGCTATTATTTTAGGGTTTCCTATTCTCCTATCACAGTAACTTTTTTAAAAAAAAATTCTTTTTATCATACATATGAACGTAAAATAATTTGGAATATTCTTGTTGTTTATAAGTTGGTTATTTCAAACATTTAAAAGCCTTTCTACGCCATTATATATATATATATATATATATATATATATATATATATATATATATATATATATATATATATATATATATATATATATATATATATATATATATATGTATATATATATATACATATATATATACATATATATATATATATATATATATATATTATATATATATATATATATATATATATATATATATATATATATATATATATATATATATATATATATATATATATAATAACTTTTTTAAAATAACTTTTTATTTATTTATCAATTATATTTTCTTTACAAACTTTTCTTTATGTCATAGGTGAACAATCTTTAAAAGATGACAGAAACGAAATTATAGTTGTTATAAATAATCAAAAATCTACTGACAAATGGAAAGATTATGTCAAGATGGTTTACAAAACCACCGAAAACACGAAGTTTTCAGTTGATGATAACCAAACTGAAAATAAGACAAAAAAGAATAAAGATAAAGCTGTTACGTGTTCCGACAACCGTAATTTCTCTATTAAAAATGATTTAAGAGCCGAAAACCAACATATTGAAAATGCTGATGGATTAGAAATAAATGAAAATAGTTCATGTCACATTGATTCAAATATATTAGACTCTGCTGGTTCTTATTCCGATATTGACTTTCACAAAGGAGAAAACAGCGATCCATTAGAAAAAAGTATAAATCACTTAAATCCAGAGTCAAATAAGATTTCTTTGAATAACGAAGAAGTACCAATTTTAAATTTAGATGAAAAACATTGTATTAAAGATAACCTCAATATATACTATGATCAAGTTGAGGAGTTCAAAGAAGAAGAATGCAGTGAGATAAATGCAAGTGTGTTTAGTGTAAGAAAAGTAAAAAAGTTAGACGCTTTTCCTTCGAATAAAACTCTTTCAGATTTGTTAAGTGATTCAGATGGATTAGATGAAGAAGTTAAAGTGGTTACGAAGAAGAATTTCGAATTCCAAGAGGTTTTGAAACCTAATGAAAAAAAGGAAGATAATGCTAAAGAACGTATCTATTATCCAAAAGACCAAAAAAGAAACTATAAATATACTAACCCCGTAATAATTCCTTTTGAACAATCCACCAAAAAGCCATCAAATCATGCTAACTTAGATATTGTGATTGACAATCTTTTAAATGAAACCCACTTGGTAACAACAAAAGAAGCACCTTTAATGAAAAGACCTTTTTCTAAACCTGCAACAAATATAAATAATGAACTTGATAATCTTTTGAACGAATTCCAAACATAAACTTTTTTTTTTCAAAACTATTAATAAACAATTTAAGTATCTATGGATAAAGAGTACTTTGCAGAAACATTTTTTTTTTAAACATTTTAACAAAACGATATAAATAATAATAATAATAAGACTAATTTAAAATTTTTTTCGTTGTGGCTTCAATTAATTGTTTATTTACAAACAAAAAAATAAAACTAATAAAAGTAATAGTAAAAGAATTAAAATGCTTGAATAAGTTGAATAAAATACCAGTAAAAATGACTGAACAATACTAAATAAATAAATACTGTGTTTTGTCAGAAAAGTAGATAAAGTTGGCAAAACACTTATTATTGTTATTATAGTTGTAGCCGTAAAATATACATACCATATATACATACAGCGAGCAGGAAAAACACCCTTCTATAAACAACCAGTTTTATAAATATTCGTTCCGAATTTTATCCTCAACCAGTGATCTAATCTAATTTTAAAAGAAAGTTCAGTGGAGTATAAAGTTACTTTATCGGGTAGTTTATTCCAGTTTTTTGCTGATCTATTACATAATTGGTTGTGTCTTGGAATACAGTTTGGAACATATTCACGTCTTATTTTAAGATGGTGACCACGTGACAATGAGTTAATAGATTTTGGTTGATATATATTATTTATTATATCAAACCGATGTATTAGTTTAAAAATTTGTATTAGATTGCATCGTAGGCGCCGGAACTCGTGCGATGGTAGATTTAGTCTTTTAAGTCTTAGTATTGAAGATTTCTCTTGTTTAAAGTCCATTTTGTTGCTTTACGTTGAACAGATTCAACCTAAACAGACACTGCATATTCAAGGTGTGGTCTTATAAACACTATATACAATTTGAGAGCCATTTTTTCATCAACGATGGTAAATGTCCTTTTTAGCATACCAAGAGTTTGTAAAGATTTGGAGACAACTGATTGAATATGTGTACTCCGCTTGAGGTTAGATGTAAAAATGACTCCTTAATCGCGCTCTTTAATAGAGCTTCGGAATAAACGGCTTACATATATATATCTAAGCTTACATATATATATACATATATATATATACATATATATATATATATATATATATATATATATATATATATATATATATATATATATATATATATATATATATATATATATATATATATATATATATATATATATATATATATATATATATATATATATATATATATATATATATATATATATATATATATAATAATAACTTTTTTAACATAACTTTTTATTTATTTATCAATTATATTTTCTTTACAGACTTTTCTTTATGTCATAGGTGAACAATCTTTAAAAGATGACAGAAACGAAATTATAGTTGTTATAAATAATCAAAAATCTACTGACAAATGGAAAGATTATGTCAAGATGGTTTACAAAACCACCGAAAACACGAAGTTTTCAGTTGATGGTATAAATGAAAGTTGAAGGTATAAATGAAAGCCTGAGAGCTTCTCAGGCTTTCATTTATACCTTGGTTATTTTGAAAAAAGTAGCTATACATAGGATTGGTTTTATAATAATGGATTACACAGCATTTTGAAATGTTTAATTTAAGTAACCAAGTGTTTGACCACTCGTATACTAAGCGTAGACGTTCATGCAGATCAACGAAATTAGTCTGCGATATAATTTTAGAAAAAAGTTTAGTATCGTCTGCAAATACTTCAGAAGTTTCTGTAAGTTGAGCAAGATTGTTTGTAAAAAGAATAAAGAGGAGCGGGCCGAGAACAGAACCTTGAGGAACACCACTAAGAACATCAACTTAGTCAGAGCTAGTATTGTTAATTGTAACGCGTTGCTTTTTGCCTACTAAGAAGGAATTAATCCATTGTAGTAGTTTGCCGTTTATTCCGAATGATTTTAATTTTAACATGAGCCTGGTGTGTGTTACGGAATCAAAAGCATTAGCAAAGTCGAGGTAGATTACATCTATAAACTGGTGCGATGCTAGGGAAGACGAAATAATATCAAAAGTCTCTATTAGATTGGTTACACAAGACTTTTGATGAAGGAAGCCAAGTTGATTTGGAGAGAGCAGATTGTTATCATTGATGTGCTTCAAGATATTATTCTTTACAACTTTTTCAAATATTTTGCACGCAACAGAGGTTAGTGAAATAGGGCGATAGTTTTCAGAAAGTAGTTTGTCTCCTTTTTTTATAGACCGGACTAATATTTGCTAATTTCCAGAGATTGGCACTATTCCAGAATTGAAAGATTCAGAAAAGATTTTTGTAAGCGGAATTGCGAAGCTTTTGGCACATATCTTAAGTATTAAAGGGTGCAACCCAAAAGATTTGTAAGGGTTTAGATTGGTAAGTTTATTAATAATGTCTGCAATGGAAAAATCCAAATTGTTATTATAATTGTATTTAGGTTTAACTTCACTTTTATTTAACAATGGAAAATTTTCGGAGCTTTCAAGAGTAAACATAGATTTAAATTGAGAGTTCAGAAGTTCAAGTATATCTGGAATAGTTTCAGTAATTTCATCTGAAGCATTTTTGAGAGAACGAATTTTATCTTAAATTTTTATTTAGTTTTTAATGTATTTGTAGACAAGTTTTGGGTTGTTCTGAGATTAAGCTTTTAATATGTAGAATAACAAGGATCATACTATTTTTTTGCTTTTTTAATCTTGGGGATAAAAGAATTGCAAGCAGTACGATAATAAGAAATTAATATATTGAACATTTGATCCGCTTTTTTGTGTAGAAATGTAATATCCCAATCGATTGATGCAATAAAGTTTGATATTGAATTATAATCAGCTTTGTTGTAACTAAACATTTGAGATTCGTTTTCGGGTCGCGGTTCTGAAACTAAGATTCTCCAGGTAACACTAAAGTGACCCTTAGTGTTATTACCTAGTATAGCATAGGAGACATATTTAAAATAGAGTTATTGTTGTAAATATTGTAGGTAAATAATAAGTCCGACATATTTTTTGGGGAACCATAGGATGTCTGGAAAGGAGGGAACGTGATGTGTTGTGTAAAGAGGCTGTTTTGGTAAATTTTCCAAAATTTATACTCGTTAGAAATGTTTGAATTGAAAGATTTAATACCATTATTAGACGACTTCATATTCGGGAAATTAAAATCACCAACGATCAAACAATCATCATATGGCTTCCTTATTAAGCTATGAGCCAATTTAAAAGATTCAGCGACATATTTTATTAGATTACCATCATTTGGTCTATATATACACCCAATAAGTATGCGTTTATTATTAACTTGTACTAATACATATGTTCAAGTGAATTTGTATAGAACTGATTAACTTCGTGAGAATTAAGTAAGTCAGTAATGTAGATAGCTACACCGCCACCTCGACGTCCGTCACAGCGATCTTTGCGATATAAATTATACCCATCGATGTTAGGAACTGAGTCATTTTGAAACCATGTTTAGGAGACAGCAATAACATAAAAGTCAAACGTTCTAGCTATTGCAATTAAATTGTTCGTTTTTTTATCAAGGGATGTTGCATTAGTGTAGTAACAATTAACACTGTGGTTTGCTTCCAGGTTATGTACGTCTTTACCCTTGTATTTTATTTTCGTTGTTAGGAGAGTCAAGAAAGGATAGTGATTCTTAGGCTGTGGTTTAGAGATTTTTGAGCTTAACAACTTCGCTGCTTCGTATACCGTATCTAAAGGGCGATGTTTTTAAATTTATATTACTATTTAATTTATTACGCTTTATTCTTAGTTGGTAGTTTAGATATTGTTCAGCCTCAGTCAGATCTGGGCTTATAAAGACATTTTTGTAATTGTCTGAATTTTTTAATTTTTTCGCTGCTGTAAGTAATGGGTTTCTTTCAGAAACATCTGACAGTTCGACGATAATTGGTTTAGAGGACATAGATTTAATACGTTTTACAAACTTTGGTTTTGCATCAGATGCGATAGTAGTTAATATTTTCTGAACCGTTTTCGTATCGTCAATCTGCTTTTCTGCATCTGATAACTTAGTAGATTCTTTAATACCATAAACAATTACATTTTTTTCTCGCTTTTTTTTTGTTGTTGTTGCTCAATGGAGAATGCGTTTATAACTGTTAGCTGTTCAAGGGTTTTTTTTTTTTGTTTTTGCTTGCAACTGTAACCCAACTGGATTCAATCTTTCTATTTGTTGTAATTGTTCAATCTTTCTAGTTGTTGTACTTGCTCTAGTTCGGATATTTTGACCATTTTGCAGATTCAGCTTCAAGAATTTTTTTAACTGTGTCATCGACTTGTTTTAATTGAGTTGGTGTTAAATAATTGATCGCAACGACTTTTTTTTAATATAGATTTAAATTTAACATGTAAATGTAGTATATAAATTACATTTAGATATTTTTAGTTTCAAATATATTTAGGAATATATAATTTCAAAGCGTAAATATTTTTTTTAAAAAAAATTAATAATTTTTACTAATACTAGTAATGATTTTATAAATAAAATATTTTATATACTATATTAACGTAATTATATATCTTTTTAAATAAGAAACAAATTATCATATTAGTAAAATTTTTAATATTAATGTTCAAGAGATTTTAATTTAACATTCAAGAGTTTTCTGGTGGAATAATTATAGGAAATAAAACTAATAAAAATGACTAATACTAATAAAAATGAAAAAACAACACTCGTAAAAATACTACTAATAAAAATGACAAAACAACACTCGTAAAAATGTCTAAACAGTACTAAGAAAAATGAATAAACAATTAAGCATGACACCGTCATTTTAAGCAGACACCGTCTCACATTGTTGCGAAAACAGGTAATGAATCTCGTACCTCGCAGTTTTTAATTATTCTTAATTAAAACTTAATTGAACCTTGGAACTTTCTTAAGCAAGCATGTATATATATATATATATATATATATATATATACATATACATATATATATATATATATATATATATATATATATATATATATATATATATATATATATATATATATATATATATATATATATATATATATATATATATATATATATATATATATATATATATATATATATATATATATATATATGTATTACGCTTTATGCAATCATTACAAAAGTTACATAGAGGGACATTGGTAAAATTGC